CCCCTGCCTTCGATCGTCACAATACGTACCCTGCAAGCCCTTTATCCAACTTTGATCTTGCTTGCTTTGTGTTGATCTTCCTCCATTATCCATTTCTTACAACTACCTTCATTTATCCTTCGCGTCGCTTTGTCCCTCTACTTATTTCGAGCCCCCCGAAAGGACGGTCTCGTTGACCAGCTGCTATGCCCTGTTTAATACCGCCCTGACATTGACGTCGACTGACCTTCTCCCTATTCCAAGCGAGCACGCACGCCGTCACAAGAGAACCAGTCATGCTTCTACCAATCCTTCAAAACGAGCCTTGATTATACAATACCTCTCTTCACAGACAAGAGATAGAAATCTGCAAGGGAATCAATCATAATACAAAATGTCGTTGAACGACACATTAAATCTGGGTGGTAATACCACCGCAGCTGAACAGAAGAATGGCCAAAGCGCAGGTCAATTCGCTGCTTCTTTGGTGACTGCCATAGCAGTGTTCGGCATCCAAATCGGGTTATTTCTCGTCATCAAGGACCGCTTCGCAAGAATATACCAACCCCGAACATACCTTGTGCCAGAAAGAGAAAGGACGGAACCCACACCTTCAGGCTGGTGGAAATGGATCAAGCCAGTGGCTGCTACCTCCAACTCTGAATTCGTCCAAAAGTGCGGCCTGGACGCCTATTTCTTCCTGAGATATCTACGTACGCTTCTCAAGATCTTTGTCCCCGCTGCGTTGGTCATCTTACCCATTCTCATCCCTCTCAATCTCATCGACGGTCGTGGGGCTCAGTTTGCACTCGGAAAGAACGTAAACGCAAGCAATGTCACGGGTCTGGACCAACTTGCTTGGGGCAATGTGGCTCCCAATCACACCGGGCGATATTGGGCTCACTGGCTCTTGGCCCTGGGTCTGATTGTCTGGATTTGCTATGTCTCTTTCGACGAACTACGCAACTACATCCGGATGCGGCAGGCTTACTTGACATCTCCTCAACATCGTCTCCGTGCTTCTGCTACCACTGTCTTGGTGAGCTCGATCCCTCAGAAGTGGTGCACAGTCGAGGCCCTCGACGGTCTTTATGACGTATTCCCTGGTGGACTTCGAAACATCTGGATCAACCGAAACTTCGACGAGCTCAGTAACAAGATCAAATGGCGCGATAAGCTAGCTGCAACTCTCGAAGCAGCAGAGACCGAGCTTATCAAGAAATGTTTCAAAAAGCACGAGAAGAACGTCGCCAAAGCAGAGAAGGAGGCTGGCACGAAACTTACCAAGGAGGAAAAGAAGCTGCGAGCCACCATTAGAAATGAAGCTGGTGACCGAGCTGCTCATGGCCACGGCACTACAACTGGAAACCCTCATCAGGTGGAGCATAACCTTCACGATGTCATTCATGGTCATCAGGCTGCCGTTCCCTCAGACTCGGGCGATGGTGGGGAAGAAGAGGCCTCTGAACCTCAACGGGACAGATTCAATATCCCCATAATTGGGGGAGGCATCTCCGCAGTCACTCACGGTTTGGACAAAGTTGGCAAAGGAATTCTGGGTGGCATTCGTGGCGTCAACAAAGGAGTGAATGATACTATCGACACTACCAACGGCTTCGTGGCGACCGAAGCGGAACAAAAGGAAGTGGGACGCAGCTCCCACGACGAAGAAGGAGAGACAACTAGCCCAACAACACCCAAAAATCGCAAGGTCTTCGGACAGCCGCGAGCGGCAGGTGCCAAAGATGCCTCTGCAAAGAACGAGAGCTCCCTTGGTGACCGGGGAAGATCAATGGAGAAATTGCCTCGCGAAGAACCACCACAGAGCCCAATCTCTCAAGGTAGTACAATGGGGGGTGAGAAGGCGCGACCGGAGAAGCAACTGACGAAATTCGAAAAGTTCAAAAAGGCTATTGGTCTTGGCTCGGACGAACAGGAACCAGTCGAATACCCGTCTGCCTTTGAGTGCAACTTCGAACACGATCCCGACGATGCAGTCTGGCGACGTTATTTGAGTGAAAAGGAACGCGAAACCATGAGACTGCCAATCTTCGGCTGGCAATGGATGCCCTCGCTTCCTCTGATAGGAGAAAAGGTTGATACGATCGAATACTGCCGGAAGGAGGTTGCTCGGCTCAATGTTGAAATAGAGGATGACCAAGCTCATCCCGAACGGTTCCCTCTCATGAACTCGGCGTTCGTCCAATTCAATCATCAGGTCGCAGCACACATGGCATGTCAAGCTGTCAGTCACCATCTGCCCAAGCAGATGGCTCCACGCTTGGTCGAGATTGATCCCAATGATGTTATTTGGGACAACATGTCGATTCCATGGTGGTCAGCATACATCAGAACGGGTGGGGTTGTTGCCATTGTGGTTGGTATGATCATCCTCTGGGCCATTCCCATCGCTTTTACGTCGGCTCTTTCACAGCTCGATACTGCTGCTAAGACGTGGACCTGGCTTCATTGGGTTCTCAAGATTCCTGCTTGGTTCCGGAGTGTCCTTCAGGGTGTGTTGCCGGCGACCTTGCTCGGTCTACTATTATTTCTCCTCCCCCTCATCCTCCGATTCTTGGTTCGATGTCAGGGCACACCGTCTGGTATGCTTGTCGAGCTCTCGGTTCAACGCTACTACTTTTGCTTCCTATTCGTCCAGCTGTTCTTGGTCGTCTCAATCGCCTCAGCCTTGACTCAGTTCTTTGCGCTGTTCACAAGTGTGGACGGCTGGACCAACGTTCCAAGTCTCCTTGGCACCAACATCCCTAAGGCCAGCAACTATTTCTTCTCCTACATGCTCCTCCAGGCCTTGTCAGTGAGTGCCGGAGCACTGCTGCAAGTCGGCTCACTCATCGGATGGTTCATCCTTGCTCCGCTATTTGACACTACGGCCCGGGCTAAATTCAGACGACAGACCCAATTACAAAATATCCAATGGGGAACATTCTTCCCTGTGTATACCAATCTGGCTTGCATCGGTTTGATCTATTCCGTTATCTCGCCTCTGATCCTGCTTTTCAACATCATCACCTTTACGTTATTTTGGTTTGTCTACAGGTACAATACGCTTTACGTCAACCGGTTCACTCGCGACACTGGTGGCCTATTGTACCCTAATGCCATTAACTTCACCTTCGTGGGAGTCTATGTGATGGAAGTTGCTCTGATTGGCATGTTCTTCCTGGTCAGAGATCAACATGGGAACGTCGCCTGCACGGGACAAGCGATTGGGATGATTATAATTCTCATCCTCACCGCCGGTTATCAATTGCTGCTAAACAACGCTTTCAGCCCATTGTTTCGATATCTTCCTATTACTCTTGAGGATGATGCGGTTCGGCGTGATGAGGAGTTTGCTCGAGCCATGCAAAAGAAACATGGACTAATCGAGAACGAGAACGAAAATGAGGATCTTGAAGATCAACTGGAGCGGAATGAGCGACAGTCCATGGAAGAAGACCGCCAACAACAGGAAATCGAACTTCAAGACATTGAGAAGGATAAACGGGCCAGGCTCGGGCGACAAAGGTCTCAAAAGTTGCCTGACCTTGAGCCGTACGAGTTCCAGAACCCAGAGATTGCCATGAATTTAGACCAAGAAAGCAGAGGCTTGCGAATGATGAAAGCAGCAGCTCAGATGACAGCTGGCAAAACCAAAGGTCTCGTCCCGCGTACCATTTCGCAAAGAGGCCACCGCAAGTCCTGGGCCGACAGGGACAACACAAGGAACCGACGCGCATCGAACTTTGGTGACTGGGAGAATCCATCACTAAGCAGAAGTCTGACGCAATCAGAGGGCGCGTCTAGGCCTCACAAACGCCACGTGGAACCACCTAAGGACGTCTTTGACAAGCTTAATAACTTTAATCCTTTGACCGGCACGGAAAAGGACGTCGAGGCACAACGAGCAGCTCGGAATCAACTTGCTGATGCACTCTTTGGTGGAGTCAACGATGAATTGGAGGACCTGACGCCTGACGAGCGCGATAAACTCGTGCAGAGGGCTTTCCAACACAGTGCGCTACGAGCCAGAAGGCCTGTCATCTGGATTCCTCGGGACGAGCTCGGTGTTAGTGACGACGAGGTGCATCGAATGGGCCGCTTCAGCAGTCACCTCTGGGTCAGCAATGTTCGGCAAGGCCTCGATTCCAAAGGTCGCTGTGTTTACAGCGGCGCCCCACCCGATTTCAGCGAAGTGGACGTGATCCAGCTCTAAACGTTTGCGTTAGAGCATTTGATGGAGTTGGAGGATGATTCAACCGTTCACCAACGTTAGCGAGGCGTTTTGCACCCGGTGTTGGCGGGTTGATTTTGTTACGGAGCAACGGAAGCGAAGATTGATGTACTCGGTGAGAAGAGAGCGAATTGTTTTCCACCCTGAGACGATGTCCACATAGAGCTGCAACGAGACCTGCCGAAACCTTGTAACGATATTGAGAATACATCAGCAATGATTAGTTTTTAGTTTTGTACCCTATACCGACTGTACAGCTTAAAGGTACGGATACTGGATGCAAGATGTTACCCTCACCCTGCCTCCTCGCCTTCAAGAGCCTAGTTGAAACTTCAAGGCGAAACTCTCCCTCGCACAAGGTGTGCGCCGCGAAAGAGATGCTGAGCCCACAAGTATGTACTCGGAGCTCAGCTCAGGGATTAAAAAGGCGGCAAGGCTAAACAAAGCCAATGTACCGAGAGTACTCTACAGTCGCACTACTTCAGAAGTAAAATACCCTTATCGTGGCACCGGCGAGGGACAACTTTTGTTACCGACGGAAAAAAGAAAAATTTAGAATATTATTACCCCTTCCTTCTATCGGGATGAAGTACCACCTGCTTCCGATTAGAGTGACAAATATACATTCATGGTATGATGGTGTCCATCCTCCGCACTATGTTGGACATTGATTCCATTACAACGTGCCCGACCCCCCAGCCCAAGGGGGAAAGCGGTTTACATCTCTGTAAATGCTCCCCAACAACCCCCCACTGTTTTCTTTTTTTCTTTTGCCTTTTTATTCTCTTCACGCACCCAGCGAGGTGAGGACGATGCAGGAAGAATTCGAACTCGTATTGCAGACATTTGCCCTTCCTAGGCCCTTGAACTTGGGACCCGTGGGCCCGCTCACGTACTTGATCTGTCCGATCAGGTCGATCTGGCCGGTCGCGTTGAGCGGGAGCTGCACGTCTCCCCAGATGCCGTTGAAGTCCAGCCAGCCGGTGGGATCTACCCCGTTATACGCTGTGAACTTCTGCGTCGCGGTGTCGAACGAGTAGAAATATGCGTTGTCGTTGGCGAGAGGATCCCAGAGCGTGCCCGCGCTGGCAAAGTCGGTGATGGGCGAAATCGGAAGGCCTGTCCCGAGGTTGAGTCCGCTGATGTTCAGTGGGTGTGTACCGGGCGTGGCGTAGTTTGCGTGTGTGCCGTTGGCGCAGTACACGATGGGTCGCGACCCGTTGTTGAACTTCTGGACCGCGCCGAATGTGAAGGCCTGACCTGAGGAGTGTTGACTGTACCACATGGCCTGGGGGGTTTCGTTCTGAAACCGCACCATCACGTGTTCCCAGTCGCCGACGTGATCGCCTAATTCGAGTACAGGGAGTCCAAAGATCCAGTCGCCGCGGTTGTAGGCGTAGAAGAAGAAGAAAAAGGCGTCGATGATGTTGTTGGGTTTACTCACGGTGACGACCGCGGTGGCGGTGGTGTTGCTAGCTAAGGAGCCATTGGTGGGTTTCGCACCGTTAAACCACAAAGGCAGGGCACGGATGCCTTGATTGGAAGTGAGAGACACGTTGGTGCCATTGCCGCCAAAGCTGTCCAGGCTGTTGAGATTGGACAAGGTCAAAAGGGCATGGGGAGTAATATTTCGCCCAGCGAAATCTTCGGGGTGCGTGTTCGCCACTTGTGAGGCAATGGAACTGGGGAAGAACACTTCCGTAGAATCGAGAAATACCACCGGAGCTTTTATGAGATTACTCTATCAGCTTTCTCTCGTTAACAAACTCACACTCTGTCTTTCTCCTCCGAAGACGTCAACGAGAAAGAGACAACATCAAGAAATGGAAGATACATACCAAACTGACGGACGAAAGCTGGAACTGTTGCTCGTTTCTGAAGTCCGGCCCCGGACACAGAAGCGGCGGTGACAGAGAACAACACCAACGAGACTTGATAGACAAGCATTTTGATCTGTTGAGCGCGGACTTCGATTTTGGAACATCTCGAGAGAAACAGCTCAAGGGTGCATGAGGCATGCTTATAAGAATATACATGCACGCATCAGAAAGACGCAAGGGATCACAAACCTGGGCACTGACGTCTGCAAATCCATCTCCGAGATGTGTCTATTACCGGGTATGGTAAGTCTGAATCTGGTTATTGCGCAGGCAGAGTCATCAAGTGAGGCTTGGCCATGGCGTATCACACGAAGTATTCGTACTCTGGGGTTCATCGGCGTCACGGGGCAGTCATTGGAAGAGGCTCAGCTGAAGTGCGTAGACAGGGAGTATACGTCGTCTCAATTAAGCCGTGCTCACAGGTGAGTGACCGTGAAGGTGGAGTTAGGCGCGTTTGATGACAGTGGGGGCAGTTTTCAAAGAAGCTGCCAATCACAACGACCAAGGAGCTTTGTCCTAAGCCGAGTGGTCTTTTCCACAGTGAACAGCAATGCTAATGCTCGGGGTCCTGTGTTGACGGGGCGCGAAAAGAGCCTCAGACTGAGACTTGTCCGAGGCCCTGGTACGGCCGAGAACACATGAACGAAGCTGTAGCAAGCGGATGCCGAAGTTTCCATCACCTCTCAGTCGGCCGAAGACCTCAATCGCGCTAAGACAGCGGCGGGGGGTTTGTTGAAGAAGAGGTTCCTGTCGGATGTCAAATCAAGGGCGGAAGGTCAGGCTGGAGATGCTGGCTTCGGGATCTGTCCGTGAATACGGAGTACACTTGGTCAAATCCACGACGTGCTGTGCACAGAGCATCCCATTTTAATGTTTGATGCCCATGTGAATCGTCCATTCAATGACGTCGGTTGTAGAAGGACTGACATTAGTATGCACTCAGGTAGACTGCCGGGCCGCTTTGTGGAACATTGCAGGTTGAGCAGGCTCGGGTGGGAGTTGGAACGGCCGCAGCTCGACAGCCTTCGCCAGGTTCTTCTCTCCTATATCCTGCAGACAGGTGCCCGTTTCATGCTCTGGTAGAGACTGCTCGGACCCCAAACGAGGTGGTGATGCGAACAAACTGCCCCGCCGGCTTGGTGATGCCTGGGACTGCTGCTTACCTTCATAGTTCTTTGACACCAGATGGCAAGAGGCTGATCCCTAGTAGGTGGACTGTCATCGACGAATGCTGTTATGGTGGTGAATGGCTTGACATGATGTATTTGAAAAGAGAGAAAATGAGGTTCGGGAAACAGAAAAGTTACCTGGAATGAGCCGGCCGCATGTGATTGAAATCCCACGTGACTGGAGAGACGCCTAAGGTATCTGATCAGAAGAAAGCCCCGATCGATGGTAAGCGCGGGAAAAGATGTCGCGGTCTGGGAAGAACGTTCGATCAGACATATTGCATTGAGATAGAGATAGTAGCGGTTTCCGTACATCCTTGGAACGAGTCTCCTAGGTTGCCTGCTTGATTGACTCGCTTCGTCCCACTCTCCGTAACCCGATCTATTTGCTGCCTTTCCCTTGCCGGTCTGCGATTGCTACGCTCGGCTTGCCCTATAACGGGCGTATTCCCTTGAACTTCTCTCCTTTTCTGGTTCTTGATCCATTTCCCTGCCTGTGCCCTTCAATGTTTGCATTGACCTTTTGCCGGGCCTGCGAGCTTTGGAGGCCAATATGATATCCAGCCTGATTCATAAGGGTTCCGGTCGTTCGACGTTATGGCAATCAAAGGGAAAGGTCCGTTAGTTGGAAGTTAAACGGTCGAAGTCGAACGTTGTTGTCCGCTCCACTTCCTTGAGCACTTCAGTCCAGTCTTTCCCTTCCATGCCAGATGCCTGCTTCTTTGGTCGAAGATGAGCGCTGCTGTTTATGCTCTTCGGAGTTTTGTGGGCCCATGTGTTGTCCGAAACGCCATGTCGACTCATATACTCGAACTCAAGGGCGATCATAGCCACGGCCGGGATAGTCGAACGCCGTTGTCGACGAGGCAGTAGCCTGGTTAAGTAGGCACTTCTTCTGATTGCATCTCATCCTTTTCTTGCAGAATCTCCGTTTGCTCCGAGGATTTTCAGTCGCCGACCATGCCTCGAACTCTCTCAATCCGGCTCACAGCCTTCTCCAACCGTTCCAGTCTCTTCCTCTTCTCGACATCCCTCTGCTCTAACACTTTGACCCTCTCTTCTAGCTTCGCGCGGGCCTTCCTTTCATTCGCAACCATCTCGTTTGCCTGTCCGAATAATTGTGCTGTGAGTTCTTCCAACTCGGTTTGAGTCTGTGATAATGAAGATTCAGCACGTAGGCGGAGGGTGCGTTCTTCTTCAAGAGAGGATTGTAAAGATGAGAGGCTCACGGCTGATGGGTTATTGTCCAGGGTTGAGGAGAGGGTCGGTGTAGAGTTATTGGGTATCACTCCAACTCCAAAGAAGGGTGTTTTCGGAGGAGACAACGTGTTGTTGCCATAGGCTGCGGAATTGTTCTGCGGAAATGTACCTGTTGCCGGTGTCAAGGGGATCTGTCCTCCTACGCTGGTGTTCGCTTCCCTTCTCCGTCCCGGAAGGAATGCACTGATGCTTGCCAGCCTTGATTGCTGCTGCGGTAGCGTTTGGCCTGGTGTCGAAGGTGCTATTATCGACCCTATTCCTTCCACTGGTGGTCTACTCAGCCTAGGATTTGGTCCTGCTTGTTGCTGCTGTTGGAGGGACTTGGAGTGTGCATCTCGCAGATACGTAAGTTCGTCCTCGTAGTCCGCAAGCTTGTCTGCTGCAGCGGCGGCTTTGGAGTTTAGGAGCCGTACTTGGGCTTCGAGATCACGGATACGGCGATTGGCTTCGACGGCTTCCGCAGAGGGTTCGGAGGTCGGGAGGAGATGGTAGCCGCAATGCGGACATGTAGGATCTGGAGAGGAGTGATATGAGGCTGTGGAGTTCGTAAAGGGAGGGTCCATAGGTGTGCTATTGAAAAGGATCGAGGAGGCCATGAGACATGCTTAATGACTCGAAAGGGGAATCTGAAGACTGAACAAAGGGGAGTGTCATATGAGCCTCATCTGGTAGTTGCGGCCCAAGAATAAGAATATGTATTATTAAAGAAAAATTAGGCGCCGTGAACAGCCACCTGAAGTGATGTTTGGCCTGCGTTGGGCGCCTGCGTCCGCCGGCACGTAGAAGGAACGAACGACTCGCAGGCTACGCAACGATGAAAGCCAGCATTGGAGATTTTGCGACACCAACAAACAGGAACTCGCACAAAGCTATATGCAGAATTCCATGGCTCCGATAGCGTACGGAGTACCGAGTAGAGGAGGTATATTTGAAGTCTGCCACATGGCGTGTTTCAGCCGCTGTCGAGAGCCAAGTGAGGTTCTGGCTGGAGAGTTTTGAGGGAATGTATTAATATCGCTGCGCCTAAACAAGCCACGGGGATACCACGTGACTACGTGTCTGGATGTCGGTGGAGGGTTCCTTTACCTGCGCGACTGAGGCTGATCGCTCGTTGATGGCATGCCGATCAATTTCAGCCGGCGGAGGAGGGTGAAACGGCGTCCCTCTATCGCCCGCTCCCGCCCCGCAAGTCGACAGATCCAAGAAGGAAATTTGTTTTGTGCAAGAGCCGTTATTTTCTTCAACAACAAACTCGGATTTAGATGGTGTCTGCACCCCGTACTGGTTACAACGACCCGGCCAGTCCAACTGTGTTGTGGATCTCTGCATTCATCTGGTCGAAACCAACATCTGGTCTTTGACCCTTCTCGAACACCTGGAGGACGGGGGGACCGCCCGAGGCTTTCTTTTCAAAGGAAACTGTCAGATCATGTCCAACGACTGGTCAACCGAAAAGGGATGTCCGTCTTCATCCTCCTGTGCAATCCATCGCCAACATTTGAAGCCCCCTCTCCTGGAAATTTCGACAAGTGGTATCTCAAGCAAGTATTGGAAAATAGAAGCGGAAATAAGTGAAAGGTCCCTCTCAGAAAAAGTATGGAATTGCAGCGCTGCAAATGTTAGCACTCGAACAATAGTGGTGATGGAAAACTCACGCTATAGCCAGTGTCGCCGTGACTCCAAAAATTGCCCTGGTCCGCACTTTTTCTCTCTTCAATTTCTCCTCCAACACTCTCGCCTTCTTCACAGGCTGTGCTGGGAGTTCGGCATCAATATCGCTTGGCTCTGGTTCTTGCGCTTTGCGCTTCTTCGAGACCTTCGGGGAGCTTTCTAGAGCCTTGGCCTCTTCGACCATCTTTCTGGCCGTCTCAAGCATCTTTTCGGTGTCTTCTGGAAGTGGTAATTCTGGTACGCTCACGGGCATGTCCACCGTGACGGTCGTGTGCGTAGTTTCCGTAGCGCCGTCAACTTCAATCGATTGATCCACTTCAACCTTGACCATCTCCGGCTCGGGGTTCGTCACTGGCGGGCTAGGCAGAGCCGGTGACTCTGGTTTCGATTCCGTTTCGGCCACAGATGCGGCGTCGTCTAATGCTGACTGAAGCGTGGCGCTTGCAGCGTTTGCATTTGCTATATTGGCCTCTTTCTGCGCCTTTGTTTGTCGTTTTCTGGGAGATGCTTTCACTTTCGTCGGGCTTGCAACCTTGGCTGGAGATGAAGACCTCGTTGCCCTCGAACGAGGCGCTTTGGTGGAAGCAGGGGCTTTAGCCTTGTCCGCCGGTAGCTCAAACCTGGGAGGCGCGGCAATTGGTTTTTTCGCACTCGAAGGCGTTTGCGTAATGTCTGTCGGGTCGAGAAGTGCACGAATCCATTCCGATAGACCATACTCCTCGGCGAGCTCTAAAGCTGAAGATGTTGTTAGCCTGACGTATTTTGCTCTTGCGCCGAACACCAATACCAAATTCCGGGGCAACCCAGACATTGCCCGCCACTTCATCCTGGCTGGTTGTTTCAAGGCTCTTGAGATAGTCGCGCTCTTCCTTTTCCTCCACATGCGCCGCCCAAGGAAAAGCGATCTTGAACATGCCGGTCGCGCTCACAAAGCCATCTTTACTTCTCCTCTGCGAAAAAAGGTCAGATGCGGCGTGGGACGGTTTGCCGATTTCTTTCGTACCATAAGGAAATATGTTTCTGGATGAGCTTGGTTCGACTGGCTAGCAAAGATCTCGGAACCGGTGAGGTCTTCCGGTAGAGGAGCCCGCAGATGGGCGTACTCGAACGGGCCTAGATTCTCTGCTTTTGTTGCATTCGATGTTCCAACTTGGCCCGGCTTGACTGTCAATTTTGTCTTGCCCAGTCGCCGGCGACTGACCAGCTCTTCATCTGGACTAAACGTCAGTTCCTCCCATGGGATACAGTCCTCAAGCGATTGACGTACAGGATGGTGCTGCACCGGGCGCAACCAAAGGGTTTCGCTTGGTGGGCAGAGGTCGCATGGTGATCTCCGTGTGCGCACAATATACCGGCGGTGACTTAAGCGCAAGAAGAGCGGCACGCGCTGCTGAGAGGCGAGCTCAATGCGAAGACGAGAAGGAGAGTGAAGGATGGGTGCAAGGAGGACCGTCTGATTCGGGTGAAAATAGGTCGGTGTCAGAAAGACTAGATAAGAAAAGAAACGAAAAGGGATGACTTGTCCGCTTGTCAGTGGGTGGACGATTGAACGAACGCGACAACACAGAAATGGGAAAGATGGGAGAGCGCACTCGGAGAGGGAGCGGGAAAGTGAAGTTGAAAATGGGGGGAGACAGAGGATGAGGGAGAGGGCTGGAGCTGGGCTGGGCTGGGCTTGGAGCTGGGGAGGGAGTCTAGCATTGGTGGCAGCTGGCGGCAGTGATGAGCGAGCCTCCCCGAGGCAAAGTAATTGGGTTCATGATGCTTTGTTCTAGCCAGGTCCCCCAATCGGAGGATTTCTAGGTGGCTGGTAAGCAATCACATCGGTGCCTGTCACCGGCCTGTTGTGTGTTGGCTAGCATGACGCCCATCAGGGCACCCGGGCATAGTTCGATGTCGGGCGTGATTCTCTTTTCATCGATTCATCGAGCAGTTGCATTGTCTTGCCCACCAGTTACGTACGAGGTACCTGGGTAGGTACTCGGTACATGACGGTATGAAAACTGTTGTAGCTGAGACTTCCGACTCTAATACATCGTAAGTAATGCGCTCTTGCGCAGAAGAACTACTCCCTAAAGAGCTTGTTCGCCTTTGTTCTTCATCAGTCCATTCCGATTCTTCACCTTTTCATCCTCTCTCTCGTCGCCTATGTCAAGCGTTTCATCACCCCGATACTCCCAAGGACCAATCTCTCTCGGCCCATCAACGCCATTTGGAGGCAATGCCCACTGTGGTGCAGGGCTGCGATAGCTCCAGCTCCCTTCGGCCACATCGGCGTACGAAAGCGCATGAAGATATATGCCCAACTCATGAGGGCCGGGATCCGAGTACAATGGAGTATCGCATACTGGGCATTTCTCCCCCGTCATCTTCTCTCCCTTCCGCTTGTTGTAGTCGGCCACCATCTCGTCGTGCGCTTTCACGAAGGCCCCATATTGAGGGTCATTGTGCATGACATCTTCGCCAGATCCCGCGAGAGATCCCGCATGCAATGTGCCTGCTGGCAACGGTTTGAAGTACGGATCCTCCCCTGCTGATGCAAGTGAGCGTGCTGCATCGCTCAGCTTAGCCGCCCCAGACACAGTCATTTGTTGCGTCTGGTCCACAAGTTTCGCAAGTCGCTCCTGCTCATAGGATACGGAGTCGGAGACCTCACTTTTGCCCATTAGTTTCAGCTTCGCTATAATCTCCTCATCCCTCTCTCCACTTGAATCGTGTTTCGCAAGATTGGGCCCAAAGACAGCTCTATTGCTGTAGATTGGATCGTTGGTGATCGGATGTCCGAGAAACTGTAGGTGTACTCGAATCTGATGCGTTCTCCCCGTCAAGGGAAGGCAGTGAACAATGCTGTACCCTTCCATCTCAGTGCCTGAAATTGCTGGTGCAGGCTGGGCCATTGTTTGGCCGTCTGTCGACAACCCTTGAGAATTTGAGGTGGCCTCCGAGTTCGTCGACTGTTGCGGCGTGTGAGGATAATATGCCACTCGTCTGAACAGCGTCTTCGCGAATTTCCCGCTCGCTCGGGCTCGATTGAGTCCTACAATCGGACTGATTTGGAGGATGCTCTCCTCGCATTTCACAATCCCTCCGCGCATTGGATCTTTATCCCAGCCGTCTCCGTCCGGGAATCGACCTTTAACCCTCGCAACGTATTCCTTACGCACTGTCCGCGAGCGCAATTTCTCACTGATCGCCTCCGCTTCTTTGCTCGTCTTCCCAATAAACATGACACCACTCGTCAACCGATCCAGTCTGTTGCAGGGTAGCGGCTTGAACGAGAAATGGCGCTCGGCCTTCATGATCTCAACAACAGAATTATAGTTATAGCGACCTGCAGGATGCACAGGCACACCAGCGGGCTTGTCGATAACAATCATTTCTTCCGTTTCGTTGATGACTCGAATCGGCTGCGCCGTCACAGGCGGCTCGTGTCTGTGCAGCGTATGTGAGATGACATCGCCATTCTGGACAATGGTATGGACATCTTTACATGGCTTCCCATTAATCGAGATCTGGCCCGTCTCTATTGCCTGCTTGTAATACTCTCGCGTCCGGTCTCGGAACTCGGCCGCGAAGATGTCGAGGATTTCGCGTCCTCGCCATCGCTGTTTGCAGTAGGTGTTGTACGTGAAATGATAAGGGGCCACGCGCCGAAGGCCATTCTCGAGGTAGTAGGGTCGAGGCCACGGATCGCAAGGGGTTATCGCGACTGATGGAGGATCTATGAGCGGCTTCCTGTCATCGAAGAAATGGGGCGCCTTTGTTTCGGTCGCGACCAGAGCCATGCTAGGGCTGGGATACCGACCACGACTTGCCAGGTGGGCAAGAACGCGAGGTGAGGGAGCCAGCGATGTTTGCGAGGGTGAAGAGTCTTGGGTATATCCGTGCAGTCATAACATGGAGATCTGGGAGAGGTTCGGGGTGCCGTACAAAAACTTTTGGGGTGGGATGTCTCGACTCCGGTACAACTGATGTTTATTTGGCCTTAGAAACCATAGCGTCGACACTGCTATTTTCACATGGATGCGTAAATTCGACTCACAAGGAAAGAGGGATCAGACATATTCTAGGTTAACTAGATTAAGGCGAAAGCCCTTCTAATCGAGAAGAGCAATCTACCATCAATTCACGGTAAATTGCCCCCCCTAGTCATGAGAGTACCTACATGCGGTACTCCTATCCGCAATCTCACACAAGTCGTCAAGAGGGAGTGTTGAGTTGTCTCCTCCACAAAGAACCGGTCTCACGCAACATCTAGAAGCCCCGCAAAGGGCAAAAGAAAAATCAACACTAGGGGGACCTAAAGACTAAGGACTGGACAAGGTCAGTTTAAAATGTCGAATGGCAGGCATCCAGCATAGGATCTTGAGCCAAGAAACAAAAGCTCAGATGTCAGGCCGAGATTTGTTGGTGTCCTGAAATGGTATCGATTTTTGTTCGGTTCTCATACCGCCGGGTGCTCCTTGTTATGGTGCACACAGGGGCGCTCAGCCATAGCAAAGTCGCTCTCTAAACCATCTTCCGCTGCTGTAGACCTGTTTCGCATGAAAACGTCGTGGCCAACTCTGATTGATTCATGTCCACGAACGGAACTACAATACCCACTCATCCCCGCGCTCATGACTCCTTTCTAATCTTCACGTTGGGGTTGGTGACCTTGACACCCAGCGCCTTTGCCTTTGCGACGATCTCAATCCGCTTTCGTGATGAAACAGCAGACGCAATCTCGGCAGCGTATGTTCGGTTGTGCATGAGGAGGAGTTCGACGTCGCGGGCATTGTGGACGAGGAAAGCCTTGTGGCCTGAGGGCATCATGTGTCGAGTCTTCTTATTTGAGCCGAAACCGATCTGTCCGAGATTTCCTGTCAGTAGAGCGTTCGCGTGTGCCATACAACTTCGCACTCAAGGGGTGCTCTGTGCATGCGCCCGGGGACTCCCTTCCCCAGCTGCGGATTCGAAAATTTGGACGTACCGATGGCATAACCATTTGACCCTTGAACCGTCTTCGAACTCGGTTGTCGATACCCTTTGGCTTTCTCCATGCGGAAGGCACGCACTTAAAGGTATCGGATTGGTGTCGGTGCCAGGCCTTTCTGTGCTTCTTAATGATGGGAACGTGCTTCTTTGCGGAGACCATCTGCGCGAACGTTAATTGTCGGCCGTGACTTTGGAAACGGGAAAGCATCTAACCTTGTCAATTGCCTGGTCTTGACACCTGAAGCAATAACAGAGTTGTAGTGAGAAGTCGTCAACAATGGCGCCCTCACTGAAAATCGGGGTCGAATTTCGCAAATTGCCAAGAGTGACTTTCTGTGCGCGGGAAGCAATGAACTAACTAAAAATAGAATAGCTCCATTGGCCAGCCTTGGGGCCTCACTATTCCGCCTTCTACGGGGTACCTTCGACCATTTCATGCTTGTGATTCCAGTGTGAGCTGCTCTCCAACAGAATGCTAGCTCTTCTACAATTCCTGGTATTCTAATTTGAAGGGGACCCCTCCCTGCTTTCCACTTTGCAACATAGCTTCGATCAACTCAAGATCTGCCAAAGCTTCTTCAGGAGATTGTCTTTCGTTGACCTTCCCAGCTGCTAATGCCTCTCCCCACGCTCTCACTTCTCCCGGCACGCCTGTCTTCTCATCCTTGACCTCCTCAGTCTTATCATCATACGTAACCTTATTGCCGGAGAGGCTGACAGAACCTTTCTCACATCCAACAGCCCATTCACTCCCCTTGTGAGTCGTTCCAAATGAGATGGATATCGTGCCCACGGCACCTTTCTTGCTCTTTGCTGTAGCTTCAACAGTATCAACTGGTGGGAGATGTTCTTGAAGCTGTGCAGAGTGAGCCGACAGGGTTACCAACGGATTATCTTTGCCCATCATCATTCGAAGCCCGGCAGTGAAGTGCACGCCGCCGTCAAGCAAAAATCCACCCTGGTGCGTCGGACTCTTCCGCCATCTGCAGAGTAGTCAGTATCACTCGACGGTCCTGGAGCAGAAGAAATGCTTTACTCAGTCTCAAAATACTTCCCACCCTGGACAAGCGTCTGCAGTCGGCATCTGAAAGTCAGTTGCCGACCCTTTGTCTCCACCACCTCTGCAGCACGAATAAAAGAATTCGTGTATCGAATATTTTCAGCCACGGCCCAGGTCACGTTTTTCGGTTCTATCTCTGACCGATACCATTTAATCAATTCCGCAGCGTCCTTCACGTTCTCGGCCACTGGCTTCTCCGAGAGGACATGCTTGCCCGCCAACAGCGCCTTGCGAATGTAGTCCGGCTGGTTCTTGATCGGTAAGGCGATGATGACCGCCTGGATATCCGATCGGGCCAGAAGATCGTCTAAAGATTTGGCAGCGCCCGAGTCATCTGAGTAGAGATCAACCTGTGCTTCATCCACCTCAAGACTCTTTGCGGATTTTAATGAGCGAGAGTAGACGGCCTTCAGCACAAGGTCCTTGGAAGCTTCCACAGCTGGCTATTCAAGCGCGCATCCCGGTCAGTAAGAAAATCGAGGGCAATCCGTTCTGTGCGCACCTTGTGCTCCTCCCGAGCGAAGATACCTATGCTCGATCAACATTGTGTGCCGGATGCATAGACGAACCCAGTTCAGTCCCTACCTCCGCCTAAAATGGCCACTCCAATCATTCCGATATGAGTGTCTGTATTTGATGTCTCTTGGGTAATACTTCAGTGCAAAAAGTCAGATGAAAACTCGACTTTCGCGCGTCAATGAGGGCGAGAGTCATTCATATCCCAACACAAGACTCCAAAATTTCCATGGGAAGCAATTTAGGCTATCGGCCCCTCTCCCGCCCAATGCCGTCTCATTGTTGCAGTGTGCTCGATTCATATCCGTATCACGTGTTCGGGAATCTTGTATCGTCACTTCCGCGTCGTGCTTGTCGTTGTTGTCGTCATCATGCAGGAAAATCGGGTCGTTCTGGGATCCACAGGAACGCAAAGCAACTTGGATGGCCATGTTTTCCATGTCCTAGAGCGGTGGGCAGAAGAGCAGATTTTCCTGGGAAGGCCCGCGACCTCGCGAGCTACAACATCGCCCTCATCCTATGTTATCATTATTCTTTGCGTCACTATCTCCTTCGTCCATACACAGTCTGTCTTACAACTGCGCGCCTTCGAGGGCGTCCTCCTGCTCGCCGCCATCAATAACGTCAACAACCTTGCCCGTTCGTTTATGATCACTTTTTCAGGCCAGAACCACCGAAAACACTCGATGCAAAGCATCAAATAATGAGCTCGCAGTTCAATCAGGAAGGGGGCTCGCAGACTTCTTTAGCGGAAGAGTTGCGCGCCACCACGCGGCAGAGACACCACGCTTTGAACGCGCAGATCACTCCGCGCTTGCCTCTGTGTCTGCCTCCAATTGCAGACAGTCCGCTCGTTTATGTTAAAGGTATGATAGTGTTTGGCCAGATATACTTCGCCTTCGAGCAATTTTTGGAGACACAACTCGCTTGTCCTCAGTTAAACCAGCGACTGCTTCAGATCTATGAGGGTATACACTTTCCCTGGCTGCTCAGGTCCAGCCAGTTACGGCACGACATCGACGCCCTGAAGTCAGACCTCTTACGGTCTCAAATTCAAGAACTGGAAGTCTTACTCGACGAGTCCAGAGGGTTTCGTCTGCGAATTGAAAGATCATTATCAGCGAGACCACATGTCCTGCTGGCTTATACTTGGACGATGTACCTTGCTCTTTTCAACGGCGGTCGTTGGATTCGAGGGCAGCTTGTCTCCGCGGGCCCAGAGTTTTGGCGTGGAAGTACACTTCCGTTGACCTTCTGGGAATTTCGAAAGGAAGGAGAGGCCGATGTTGGCGATGAGCGACTTAAAGAAGAGTTCAAAGAGGGATTTCAGGGCGCGGCTTCCATCCTCACCGAGGAGGAAAGTCGAAATGTCGTTGAGGAGACTATGAAATTGTTCGATATGTGCTTGCAAATGGTAGAATTTCTTGACAACAAGGCCGCGACGTCCTCGTCCCAAGAGTCTTTTGCTGAATCCCCGTCGCTCGCCGTTGCTTGCCAACTCAAGGACCCAGTTGTTGCGAACTCGACGGTGGCTTCTCTTTGGCAATACCTGACCTCTGTTTGTTCCTCGATAAAGACGACGACAAGCACGGCACTGCGCGGTAAAGCCTCCTCGGCAGGCTGAGACCCGTACACTTCTCTTTATGGACACCTTCAACCAGGCTCTCACACTTTGATTACAGGTGAAGGTCCTAGCTCAGCTGACTCACAACCTACACGCAGCATGACAAAATGAGCAAAGGAATGTCGAAACATTGGAACTGTGACGGGTATCATTTGCGAAGGAATGAGTCAATGTTCAATCTGGTACGCCACAACACTAACTTGACCTGCCCGAGGGAGAAGCGATCAATCCAAGACCAATGTTGGGACCAACTGGTTCTCGTCAAAGGGGGTGGAAACCCTCGAGGAGAGCACAACCACAACAGGAGTGTGTGTCAGCTCTTTTTTGACAACTATGGCGGTTCGGATGATATCCCGACGAACTTTGTAATGAGGACTCGGCGAAAAGACCAATAAGCTTAGTCACGAAAAGTTTGTCAAGTCTGGTATTGCAATTGCGATGGGTGAGAAAATGAGGTCGGTGCGTCGTCAATGGAGTCGTAAGTGAGGTGGATGGTGACGAGTTCGATTGAGATGGCAATCTGGTGCAATCTGGTCGACGTCGGAGTGGGATTAGGCGCGTGAAACTGCGGACTCGAGAGCGACTCTCAATCCGCAGACATTGAATCCAGCTTGCTTAACAGCAAAATGATGAAGAGGAGAACTCTACACAAGAGCCGACCTTTCTTAGGTCCATTTCAACGGGTGAAGTAGGTCGGCCGGGGAAATTTCTGGGGCCGAGAGCTAGGGGGCTCGAGCCATACGAACGTGTTTCGACTATTAGACCCTAGAGAATCTTTCAAGCAAATCTACACCTGAGAACGAGGGTTGGGGCATTAGAGCACGAACATAAGGGACTCCTAACTTCGACTGTAGTCCGTTTTGCGGTTATTGGTAAGGCTGAAACAAAAAAAGACTGGAATCGTGCGTTTGAGCAGTTGTCCTTTGTGATTGTGTCGGCCAGGGGCTTAAGGACTTTGATGCAGAATCTGGCAGACCCGCAAGGGGGACAACAATTGCCTGTGTGATCCCGATGTGTCCCTGCCATTATTTCAGAGAATTTGGTCTTCAACCAGAATCTTGTAGTGCATTGTGCTTTTGCGTCCTATTCGGCCAGATAGACACAACCAGCTTCTTTGGAACCAGTGGAAAGCGGTGGTGCGTATACTGCATGTTAGAAGTCCAATATCACGCTAGATCCTTGCCCTTGCCCAGTTGACAGGTCGCCCGAATTCCTTTTAAGTTGGCCTGGTGTGTTGCCACGAGAGCCACTAGGGAGGTGATCCGGGGGAAGGCCTGTGCACGATGGACGCCCTGCCGGATCTTGGAGCAACTCTAAATTGGGAAATAATGGTAAGCTTGAAGATTTGATGCTTACGAGGTCAACAACTCATAGGTTATCATGCGCACAATTCCTTCAAAGACATTAACATGTCAGTTTTCTCTCCTATGAGGCGGTTGAACAGGATCATCACCCGCAGCTTTCGACGAGTGCCCAGGCTAGGGGCACAGTACTTGTACACGATTCAATCACTATTAAAAGTCTGGGCGCGCCGGAAGGCATGCCAGGATGCTGGACCCTCACCTTAAAGCTTCAGCTAAGCACTCAGTGGAAAGGTTGGGGCTTGGCTGCTCTCTCCGCAGTGAAGGGGCGATGCCAACAAGAGCTGTAATAGCTGCTAACGTGGCAATTCAGAGCCCGGGCACAACCAGCTGTGAGTGGACTACTTCATCATTGGAGATTGGTACTGAGTACTCCGTATGTATAGCCGCACGTCGTCCCAGCAAGAGTTGTAACCCAAGTACGAGGTACTTATTGTCAGGGCCCCGCTGTTCGTTGGCGAGCTTAAGAGAATTGCTAAGTATGCTTCAGTCTTGTCAAAGCCACACAAGGGTTCGATGAATTTTTCTGGCTCAGAGACATGCAGGAGGACTCGGTACTCCGTACCAGCTTCGAAAAGCCCAACGTGGCTTTCCTTCTTTGCTCGGTTGCTCGCCGAAAAGCAGTCGGCTAGATATCTCTGCAGGAAGAGCCCTGGTCCTTGTGAAAGCTTTAGGACAAGGTTTAGAACGAGTGAGTAGGTACTGGGTACTCCCTCAGTACTGGGTATGCGTCTCTGTTACGTATGCAAACGACGGGGGCGCCTGTCAAAATTCAGTGTTCCCCGCGCAATTTGCCTTTGTCTTGAAGATTTCAGTCGTGTTCAAGTACGTACTCGTAGAGCCGTCCTAATGTGCCCCCGTCCTGGTACCGCTGGTATGGGCCGTAACACCGATGGATTCGTCAAGCGAGGTTGCAGAACGCCAGGTGGGTTTGACAGCTGGAAAATGCACCGAATCCACCACGCCGCCAATAGTCGAGGCAAGAAATAGTTTGGAAATGTGCAGCAAAAGGTATGAGGCTAGAGTGAAGAAGGACTGGGCTGCTGCAAGTCGCCTGGGTATAGAAAATTCGACGGAGCTGGCCGCTGGCTGCTCGTCCGTTCCTCTGGGCCATCGGCGTAACTGGGACCGGCGGATGAATCGTCGCTGATTATCTAGGTGAGTAGGAGTCAGACGGTGCTTGCGGCAAGTCGTTTACATACTTACTTTTTCAGCAGGTGGGCAACGCAAGACGAGTAGGAAGTAGTCTGCTGTGCAGTTGTGGTTGCAGGAGGGATTCCATCGCAAGGGAGATCGAATGCGGCCTGTTGCATGGTTAGGTATGAGTTGGTCAACGGAGGCGAGACGGCAAAAGAGTTCTCAAGTGGCCTTCCACATTAGCGGGTGTTGCTGCTGCGCGGGACAAACATTCGTCTCAACGGGCTTCTGAAATTTATACTGTAGCAAGCCCATCTCCCGCACCGGATTCAGCAGCTTGCTGGGCGTCCTGGGTGCCTATACGAGATAGCATTTAACATGCCTGGAGCTGATAGGTGGCTCGGGGCGCTGGCGGTGCTGCCACGTACCCGAGGCCATAGCACTGGCGCTCTGAGGACGCCCAAGGACGCCTGGTGAGCCCCACCAACTGCAGCGGGACTAAACCTGCACGGACCCAAGCAGCTCCCCGGGCGTTCCCCTAACCTTAAGCAAGCTGAGTACTCGGCACTGCCCTTTGGGTCTCGGGTCGCTTCTGTGCAGCAAATGTTTCTTATGCCGGTTTCGCCGTGGCCTCTCTCCCCATAGGTGGTGTGATGAAATGGGCTCTCCTTGGTGCAATCCACTGCACCGACAGAACGGTATGGGGCACGGCCCCCTCCCCAGCACTTCCCTATCTAAGCTTAACCCTGAACGCTCTCCAGCGTCTTACTGCCTCACTCCTTGATTCCCAGCCTGCATCCCCCCTCTGAAGCCCATGACTCTTGCACCCACGCTTTGCAGTTTCCACAAGATTATTAGGCTGGAGTCTGCCACTTAGCTTGGGCTTCTGTTGGCTGGGGCACTGGATTCCGGAAGCCTAACTGAGCTAACTGCATGCCGGTTCCCAGACTCACGAGACTGCGGGTGCCAAGTGCTGCATCATCGTTGAAGGTGCAAGCTCAATGCTCGATGCTCACTCAGTCTTCAATGCTGCCTCCCCATTCCAATTCCACACACCCGCGCGTGCTTTCTCCTCTTTTTCTTCCCTTATCTCCACACTCTTCACACACCGTCCAGCTCATCGTGTCTTCTTCGACCCTTTCGCCTCTTTCGACCTCTTCGTCGCCTATTGACGTCCCTTTTCTTTCCCAGCTATTGTCACAGCATCGGCCGCCGAACACCACAACAGCTGTCGACCGCTCACGTCGACCACTGTGAGCGCTGGGCCTTATAGGAGGGAATATCGCCGGCACCGGTACCTTTAGCCGTGATCTACCATTGACGATCAGTACCGATCCTCAGTCAGACCCGCGACTCTAGCTATTTTCCGATATTCTCGCTGGTCTGCCTGAACCTTACCTCGACTCCTGACTTCCATCCATCCTACATAACATCACATTATCTTGCGGTACCTCGCCGGCCTTCTGAGGGAGCCGCAGTGCTGAAGGTTGAGCAGGCAAGTCGATGGACCACAGTATTGGGAACAGGGATCTAGCTACCCGACAAGTCACATTCCAATCCACTCCTGCGGAATCCCACCACCAATAACTGACGCCTGGCATTTCTTCATCCCCCTCGCAGTCCCAATTCCCTGGGTCAGCCGAACAACCAATAGTCGCACCATCAAGCCACCCGACCTTTCTCTTTCAGCCCGTTTGTTGCACTCTCGTTGATTGCCTTCTATCTCCTATGACACCATATCTGTCAGGCCATCCATTCCACTCTGCCAATGGATGCGGCGGAAGCACCACCGTCGAAGAAGGGAAAGACGGGATTGAAAACGGTCTGGAACAAGTTCAAGGATCTCTTTAGAGATAAACCCACCTCTGCAGAAACACCTCCAACTGTCAGCGATACGCCACCTACTCCCGCTGTTGCTGTCGGCCCGCAGAGGGAAGAAGCTGTAGATAGTCCCATACCGTCAGTGGGATCCAATTCCTCGCGGAACTCGTCACTAACTCTTCCCAGGGAACCTCTCATCAAGCACTCGCCGGGACAAGAAGTCGACGATACACCCAAAGAGCCTGAACAGCCTGACGAACCTGGCGCGGTATCGTTACTAGAGCCTGTCGAGATCAAGGACTCCCTGGCCGAGTCACAGATGCGGTTCAGCAAAGCACAAGCAATCTTCGCTAGACACAACCTAGAACTGGATGAAACAGAATGGGAGCCGAAATACAAAGTGCCCCATGAAAGGGTGTACAAAAATATACGAATGAGGGTCAGATACACCTGTCACAACTGCTCAACGACGTTCGGCCGCGATCGAGTCTGCATTGGATGTCAACACCGACGCTGTACTCGATGTTCACGGTACCCGCCAAAGAAAGACCGCACGAAACAGTCACAAGACCCCTCAGCAGCTGGCCCTCCGGCACCCGTGACTGACGCACCTCGACCAAGTCCTGAGGGTGGAATGTGTCATGAATGCCGGAGTGGTTTCGAGGTCGATGCTGAAGAGTGCCCCAACTGCCATCACAGGATTTGTGAGAGATGTCTGCACGAAGCCACCATTACTGTTGAACCTGGTCACAAAGCCACTCAGGAAGTAACCCAGGAAGCGTCTGAGGCCAAACAGCCTGAACAAAGGAAGCCCACTCGACAAGAGTCAACCGCTGTCAGCTAGCATTAGTCCCTGTTTGCTTCTATCGCCGTTATCAGGGCAACAGCGCGCCTCTCTTAACAGCCTCACACTTGACATTTTCTGAGCATTTTGATGATGCGATGACGACCTTTCTACGACTACTTGTCTTTCTCGATCTGAGCGTTCCAGTCCTAATTCTCATGGGTTGGTGTTCACGGTGTTCCATTCGCAATATTCCCCTTTTGACATTACTTTGATCCCTTTGAGCGCAAAAAGCGAAGATGTTCGTCCGGAGTTGGGAGTTGCCTTTCTTGAGTTGGTTCGATACCCTGCTAAAAGCAGAAGGGCTTGGTTTTACATTGGAAGAGAAGGAATAAGGGTATTAAGGAAAGTTGAAAATGGGAAGTCGGCAAAAGAAACGGGTGATTAGGATCTGAAGGTTCTGATGCGACCACCGTACAGCAGCAGGAGCACATTTCTAAGGGTACAAATTGAGGAAGGATAAGGAGTGGGATGGATTAGAGCAATGGCGATTGTTGCTCAGCAAATTGGACAGCGACTCTGCAGCCTCGACCTTGTCCTCTTCTCGAGGCTGGTCTCTACGATACAAATGAAGAAAATAACAGCGCCACTCCACTGCCTACACTACAGCCAGTCTTCCAGCTTCAGTCTGTTTACAAGTTTTTTTATCCTCCGCCTTTTCCTCCTATGATATCGCTCTACTGACCAACGACTTTCATTCCCAACTCTAGTGTCTGAACTTTCTACTTCAGATTCTAAGCCAGGGCGTGGATTCCCGCGCAGCACCATGGAGCCCGCACTACGATAAACGGATCCTAATGCTGTGAGAACCCAAGTTCGCGAGAGACCTATCAGAGTGGCTCATCACCTCGGGGCGTCATCAGGTTGAAACCATCCTCCTGATGTCAGCACTGTACAGAACGTGGGTTCCCCCTTTCAAAGATTGGACGCGAAATAAGCAACACGGGCACGTTTTCCGTCGAGTCCATGTCAGACAGAACAACCCGTCCGTTCAGGGCACCCAAATGGTCGGCCTCAACATACGAACCCCTCCGCACCATGACGGTGCCTGGCGTCGGCGGACGAGATTACAGGGAAGACACCACCACGTTGCGCAATCATATAGTAGGGACAGGCACCGAGACAGGGCCATACATTGGAGTGGATCTCTCGGTTCTTCAAGACGGGCAAGACCGGTAGTCAACCTTGTCTACCATTCTACCATGGGTCGACCACTGCCCATCTGTACACAATGGACATGGGGATAGATACATGCTCAGGCGCGGGCGCTTACTCAATGATCAAGATATGCCGTGCTCACTCGCTTCCCCCTTCTATTACATATCCAAAATGATCGCTCTTCTCCTAGTGAGTGGAAAGGATTGCCCTTGAAAAACAGGACGCAGGCAGTCAGGCCATTAGCAGCAAACACTTTTGCGGTTCAATTTACGGCCGACGACATTGTCCATGTCTGGAAACTGCGCGGCATTCGGCCAGAGGGAACATTGTGGACGCCCTTCCATCACCTGATATGTCACCTTATGGACAGAGAAGGGCTACGATGAGGCGCATGCGCCGGAAGGAAAAGTCCCTACTCAGTCTGCTGGGGGTTTGTTGCGAATATTAATGGAGATGTCGAAAGTTCGAGACGGCGGCCTACTAAAAAGGCCCACGTAACTAGGACCGGACAATGCGAAGTGCTTGACACCACGCGCCAACCGCAATCTTTCTAAGGCCGCCCTGAGCGTCGTGGAAGATTACTACCAAGAAGGGGGCACAAAGCACAAAGGAAACAAACAGACGAAGTCTCTGGGGGCCGCCATCCCGCGTTATGCATGACGAAACTCAAAAGGGCCCAAAGAACGAAGGCCTTGACCTTCGAAAAGACAAGCTGGCTGGCGGCGACTGGCCTGTCAGCGACAAAAGATACACCCCCAGGCAAAAGTTCTCTGATATTCGTCACTTCGGTTCCTCGAGGCGAGAGCATTGGCACCCAACTGGCATCGCTAGGCTTGCACTAAGCGAGACGTTAGCGCTGGCCCTCGAGGGTTGTTCGGCACGAAGCCCATTCTTTTCGATTGGACGGGTCGCGTGGCGATCGCTGATGGGCGACTTTTGTGATGCTTTGGCGATGGGGTCAACTTATGCACGAGTACCGAAACCTGATCCCATAGATGGATCTTGTGGGCGCCGGCCAGGCCATTCCGCATCCTTGTACCGACGAGTTATTTCTCAGGGTGAGCCTGTATCGGTGACCCTATCGAATGGCACCAATGCGTTGGGAACAGGGTACTTGCACTCGGTATGTACTTTTGTGATAGCGCCTGTTAGGGGGCGGGAGTTCCTTGTCTGTGGTAGGTGTCTTTCCTCTCCAGTCCATTTCCGTCAATCTCATATTACCACGATGTCCGGATGATCTACCTACAATTAGATAACTTCATAACTTCCCATCGACACTGATTGAGCTCGCTCAGAGCCGAAATTTCAGATCGCGCGAGCGGGTATAAATGGCTCCGCTGCTGCTGATGCTCCTTCTCCCCCTGCTTGAAACGAGGCTGATCATCCGGAGGATCTTCGAAAAAGAAAGAATACCTAAATAGGTATATCCGTCTCCGAGTCTCCATGGAGGTGAATGGATACCCTGAACATCGCGAGCACTCGATACGTACTTCGACACAGGCTCAGGACACCTTCCGGCGTTCAACAAGCAAGGAAGATCGCTGCACGAATACAGGGGCATTTGATGGATTGAAAGCAAAAGCTGCCCACCACCAGAATCCACTTGGGAGGAGATCAAGGCTTATCCCGATTCCTTTTGTTCCTAAAGGGAGTATTTATGGCTCTCTCGCCTGTAAAGACTCGCGCTGATGAGATGGAGACGAGATAACAAGGCAGCGCGTGAGGCCCCTCCCCCCGAAGCGGTTCAACGTGTTTCAGAACGGCTCCCACAAACAAAAGACGTACTTCGTATTACTGCTATTCCACCACATACTCGGCATCGGGAGCATTTTCGTTCCCGTTTCAACGTGAAGGAGATCCGATCCACCAGCTTACTGGCCACTACTTGGTAGAGTACTGCTGCGAGTGCTACCACTAATACAGTACTACCGCTGGGGGCCCCTCTTTCTTGAAACTTCTTCCAAGCGAGATGACCCGTGATTTTTTCGGCCGAAGAACCCAGAGAACAGAAAAAGTGCGTGTGTTTGTGTGTGCTTTGTGTCAGCACAGACCTTCGCAGCCCAAGCAGTGAGTAAACGGCTGCGGAACAGATATTGCTTGCGGCCATATTTAGTAGTACGCCTTTGTGCGCCTTTCGTCGTTACAAGTACTCTGTACTCGGTGCACACATGCTGGAACTCCAGTAGCAGAGTGGAGCTTCGGAGAGCCCGTTGGGGGTTCTCCGGACGTTTTGCTCTCTTTAGTCGTAATCAAGCTCCCTTGTTGGCTGGGCTGGTTGACTGGTCCTTGATAAGACCTCTGTGAACATGTAACAAGACTAAGCAGGACGCTTGTTTACCCCTCGCGCTCATAGGTATGTGGTCGGCCTGCCCAACAGGACAAGTCTCCCCAGTGACCTTGGACCAAGAAAAAACGGCTCAGAAGCGATGACGGATGGGACCCCTCTCTTGACCTCTCCTAACTACAAACACACCAAGGGGGTATGCAAGCGTGGGGGGAGAAGAACAACAGCACCGACAACAGGGACGATAATAGCGCCAGACGGCTTTCGTTCGATGTCGGGAAGTGATCAACGTCCTTTTTCTCGACGCTACACCCGGAAAAATGAAAAACCAAAAACGAAAAGAAGCCCGCCCCAAGGACCATACTACATGTACCTACTACTCCGTACACTCCCCTCTACCTAGGTACTGGTCACTGGCCCTGTGCACAGATTGGGATGGTGCATGGGGAAAGAAGCCCACATATTCTTCTCCGACTTTCTTCGTCTTCGCCCTTCCTGGTCCGTGCGTCAGCAACGGCAGTTGGAAGTTCCCAGCGCCATGGAACCCGATGGACGGACCGATCCTCCCGCTAGCAATACTAAGGGAACTACCTCCTTGGTATGTACTGGTAGTACGGAGTACCTAGGTATGTACATCACAACCCCCAACCCAGCGATGAACCACTTTTGATACGAGTACCTACGCAGTCCGTGGCATCGGTGGAAACTTGAACGGTCTCAGCCGCACAGGCAACGTGTCTACCTAAGGACAAGTTCTCGTAGGTGCCATCCCTGTGGTCGAAGAGTCCCTCCCACCATACTTTGCATGTCTTCTCGTACCTTCTATCAGCTCGACCGCGCAGCCAGGGTGGTTCCCGGGGCCAGCCCTCCTATTACATTACACTGCACTACAGTAGAATTTCGGGTTACCGCCTATGGAGATAGGGAGGGAGGGAGGGAGGACGGAGCCGAGGATACCAAGGGAGTAAGTAAGTACTTGGACGAGGACCTAGTACCCCAGCAGGTATGTTCACAGATGGGTAGGTAGGTAGGTAGGTGGCCGAGAGAATGGACGGGGACAACAACAAGAAAGGGAGCGACGGTGATGGGAGTGAAGAGCAAAAACGGGTTTCAGATCGTCTTCGAGGACGCTTCTTTTGTATGTATATCCCTGTGTATGTGGCACCACGCGGAAATTCCTACTCTGCTCTGTCAGCTCTGTTTCGGTGTCAAGCTTCAAGGGCCGAGTTAGTTTGCGCAGAAAATAGAAAGAGATCATCAACGATCCACGAGCAGGAATCTGGCACTGCTACTACGAGGATTGGTCTTATATCATTCGTCTGTCAGGAGGGATGCGAGGCGATCAATCCCCTCGTCATTCCTCCCTCGTCTTCCTCGTCCTCGCTCCCGCCTTCGGTCCCTCCTTCCTCCGACTCCTCTTCGTCCGTCTCTTCGCTCTCGGTCTCCTCCTCCGTCTCCTCTTCGTCCTCTTCCTCTTCACTCTCGGCCAGCCAATCGTCCAGAGTTCTGGGCTTCGCGTTGGCCTTAGCCGTCCCCGCCGCAACGACCTTTTCCAACC